CAGTTCTCTGGGCCATCCGTGGGAATTTCAATATTCTTTGCTAGCACCATCATTCAAATACACTGATTCTTCCGTCTTCTTAATCAATATCCAACTTTAACCTTTTCTCCATTTATCATGATGTTACCTCTTGGTCCCATTGTGAGGATTTGGGTCCTCTTTACATTGAGCTGTAATCCGTGCTGAAGGCTACAATCTTTGGTCTTCATCAGCAGGTGCTTCAAGTCCTTCTCACTTTCAGCAAGCCAGGTGTGTCGTCTGCAAATCTCAGGTGGTTGGCAAGCCTTCCTCCACTCCTGACCCACCGTTGTCCATATCATCCCGCTTCTCTGACGATCTTCTCAGCGTACAGATTGAATAAAGATGGTGAGAGGAGACAGCCCTGACCCACATCTTGCTTGACTTTGGGAGCTCAGTTTGCTTCCAGTAGAAGTGGACTCTGTGGGAAAGGTGGTTTCCTTTTGGTTGGGTCTGGATCCAGCATCCAGCCCATGAGCCTCAGTTCTCTCGACTTGACCCAATGGCCTGCCATCTATTGACTTCTGCAGCCACGAGCCTGCGTCTTCTTGCTGATCTCGGTTCTTCAGCCTCTGCAGTTACTCAGGTCAGGAAAAGTCTCCAGCCCAACATCTGGCCCATGGACTTGGTCCCTGCCCAGCCTTGGACTTACACACTTCTACAGCTGTGAGACACATCTTCTTGATACAAATGCCTCGCTCTATAGGACACCAAGCGTACCTTCACTGGGAATGTTATAGTTAATTTTGCTGAAGCATTTTACTTAAAATTTTTCAGTGAGTTAGCAAGGTAAAAGGTATCTGCCAATGTCTACGGTTAACTTGTAATAATAAATATGAAATGTGAAGAACTTGACAGGGGTCAACTTCAAAACTAGCGTGAAGTCCAAAGGAACCAGAGAAACAAAACAGAGCTCCCGCTGTCAGGCCGGTCCGACTCACGGCGACGTTGCAGGGCAGGGCCGAGCGGCCGGGGGAGGCTCAGAGGCTGTCATTCCTTATGGGAGTTGAAAGCCCCATCTTTCCCCGGAGCAATGGCTGGTGGTTTCAAACTGCTAACCTTGTGGTTAGCTGCCTGACGTGTGACCACTGTACCGCCTGGGCTCCAAGCCAAATGGGTTTATTTTTAAAGACAATTGAGATACAGATGTGTGTTAAGTATAACGTTTATCCTTATTCCTTAAAGCAGTTTCGGTACATCATAATAATCCCCCACATGACGATAAATAGTCAAGACAGCTTGAACCATCTGACTATTGTCGGTTCCAACCCAGGACAGCAGCCCTGCGTCCAGCAAAAGGGGCTTCATCCAGCCCTGTTCCATTCTCACCACCACGGTCACCGTCCATCTCACCGACGGCCTTCCTCTTTGTCGCTGCCCCTCTACCTTACCAAGCACGATGTCCTTCTCCAGCGACCAGTTTCTGCCGACAACATGTCCACGGAGGTGAGGTGAAGTTTTGCCACCCCGGCCTCTAAGGAGCACACTGGCCGTCACTTTCCAAGCGTCCAAATTGTACTGACATCTCGAGAGTAAGGAGATGGGTTTTCCCATGAGAGCGGTTGACCTTGATGATGTTCATTCCAAAGGAAACAACGTTGCCCCTAAAGTGTGGGGTAAAGCAGCATGGTATGATGCAGCGTGTCTCACACCAGGCAAACATTGACATGCGTTTAAGCTTCAAAGCGAACCCGACACCACTCCTTCCTTATTTGACAAGACATTTTATGAGTCACAGCACAGTAAATAAATCTTTTAAGCCTTTTCTTCTTTAGAAAATGGAAACAAATTCCTTATGACTTTGAATGAAGTTTTAAAATTAATATGAGTTTACTGCAGGCTACCAAAAAGTAACATTTGAGTTATTTAACCAAAGACTGTGAAGATAAAAGCTTTAGTCTCTGCTAATGTTACGTGACTTGGTTGCTGATTCAGGAATTTATTCTGTGAAAATCTTGCCTTCAAGGCAGATTTCAGCGAGAATAAAATTAACTTTTTAACTGAGTAATTGCAGGCAATCTTGCTCTCTTGACAGTGAGAACCTCAGCGCTCTGCAATTTGACATGAAAGCTCTTAAAAACATTCACAAATTAACCTGTCAGACTCGGCGCTGCCACAAACAAGCACCTTCACCCAGTCAAACACATCCTCTCCATGACCCTTTGCAGTCTTGTCTGTGTTTGCACCTCCCTCCGTGCACTTTGTCGACACATGTTTGATGAGGGCCTATGAACTGTCAGGGTCGTGGCTGGCTATCCGTTACTTTTACTCCAAAGAGCTAAGTAGCCAGCCTCAGCCCACAGAGCACGAGGCGGGCAGGCTGCTCTGGTCCTTCCCTCTGTCGGTACAAAGAGCCATGCTCCCCTTGCCTGTGTCCTGATGTTACCGGGAACAATCCTCATGGCTACTGTGGGGGGAGACCAGCCCCCCACAACTGATTGGGTTCTAAGGAACGGTTGCACAACTAAGAAGAAATGAAAGAGAAAGAAAATAGTGTGCTGTCCTCCTGCATCGGGATCAGGATCAAGGAAGAGAATGAGTGCATCCTTTCACCAACATTTGTGTGTTTAGGGACGCACGAGACCCCCACCTACAGACAACCCCGTCCGTCCGTAACCAGGTGGGCAGGGTCCTAACCTAGATGTGCCTGAGTTCATTGGGAGAGGACCTAACACCAGTGCCGGGGGCAGGTAGAAGAGGGTCCACCGTGCCGAGTGGGGCTAATGGTAGCAGTGTGTCTGCACCTGTAGGTAGGTCTGCCGCGGTTGGCATGCTGATCAGCTGTGTGATTGTGAGACGTACCAGGAGGGGCTGGTGCTTAGTTAGGAGCACGTGACTGGGATTCTTCTCCAACTCGCCAGCGTGAAGGCTCCCTCCACCCAGAACCCCAGCTGCCCAGGCTTTGGCCTCAAGAGCCAGGGGGTTTGTCTGCATACACTCTCCTCCCAGCCCCCAGCTTCCCACGGCCACAAAGAAGGAAGCGTAGAGGGCAATGAGTACAATGAGCTTTACACAATTGATGCGTGTATGGATTGTGATAAGAGTTGTATGAGCCCCCAATAAAATGATTAAAAAAACAAAACAAAAAAAAGAATAAAGAAAATGCCCTTAAAAAAAAGGAAGCATAACTTATGCACATTTATTTAGGTTAAAGTGGGTAGTTCTGAGAGATGGGAGATAACTTGACCGTGGATCAAGCTACTACTTTTATGAACCAGGTTTTCTTTGCTCTTCTTTGGGGAACAAATTTGCTTTTTCTTGGCCATCTGTTGTTTCGTTTTCTTCTAGAGCTGCCTCAATTCCCCCTCCAGGGCTTTCTCTGTTGAGTTCTAGAACAACCCGCCTCCTCCGTTTCAGGACAAAATTATTATCCTTCCCCTTAACAAAACGAGTGCACTTAGAAAGTTAACTTAGAAAGGCTTTATTGTTAAGACTGTGCGTTAGTGAGGGTGCGCATCAACATAAAAACTATTGCTAGACAGAATTTATTTTATTAATAAGTTCAGTGGTGCTAGTATCAGCGTCGTTTGATTCATACAAGTGTGAATTTATCATTTCACTAATCAAAGCAAGTTATTTGAGAAATCATTATAATTTTATCCCATAATACCCTCTGGAGCTGGGAGATTAGCATATTCTTATAACCTTCTCTTTTGCTCGTTTATCAGATTCTTTAGAGAAGCAACTTAGAATAATTTGTCTTCCTGAGCGTCTTGTGACTTAGTTGCTTAGTGACCACTGAAACCCTACATTACTTTAAATATGTGGAGCGAGTAGTTTTGGTGGGTTGTTGTTGTTGTTTTTAACATGAATCTTACCCTGATTTTATTCTTCAATCATCTTGCCCACTAAAAATCCGATCTCTTGTTTCAAGCGCATTAAGTTCTTTAACTGGACAAGAGTGGAAGGATTTTCAGAGTGGCCACGGATGCTTCAAGCAGGATGTGCACAGACAAAATCCAAACCCTGGGTCTGAAACACATTGCTGTGGGCTTGGACAGTGTGTTTGTCTGCTGAGTGCCTGTTACAGGGTCTGCCTGGAGACTGGCAGGGCCTTCCAATCTCCGTGCCTCGGCACCAATGCCCCCTGCCCCCCCTTCCCTCAAGGAAACTGAGTGATGGACAATGCCACCGTGTGGGCAGTGGTGACACTGACCAAGAGTGGCACAACGAAGCGGGAATCAGTGAGGTGCTGGCCCTGGCAGCTGGCTGTCGTAACTGGCCGGGCAGTGCGGCAGGAGTCAGAGAGCCTCAGATGGGAGGCCCAGATCTACCTGCGTAAGAGCAGAACCCTCGGAGGCACTTGGCTGCTCTACTCTCCCCTCACCTGGCAGTTGGCTCTCGCCACAAGAGTCCTCCTGTGTGCCGAGCCGTGGGAGCCCTGCTTGTGAACGGTCTGGTCAAGTCCCCACTGACTGTCTCCCCCCCCTTGTTAAGACCCACTGCGGTCATGCTGAGAGGGACCCTTTGGCATGAATCTTCACAGCACGGACTGCACCCCTTTCTCAGTGGATGCTTGCTCTCAGTCCTTAGCCCGGCAGCCGAGTGCCCAGCAAGGGCACTGCCAGGCTCCTGCCCACAGGGGCGGGGTTAGGGTTTGCAGGGCACACTGTTGGGAGGCACCTCAACCCATACTAGGCAGGTGGAGGGAGGGGGCGCGCGAGAGCCCAGATGTGGCCAGGTTAATCGGGCACCTGGGCCAGCTGCCAGGATGGTACAAGTTCCTGTCGCCTTGGGTGTGGCTCCCTTCAAGCCAAGGGGCATGTGCAGGGGCCCTGTGCTCCCTTTCCCCTGAAAGCCCCTTTCTGCTGGCTGGAATGAGGGTCCGAGGGCTGTGAGTGGGCCTAGTTTGGGAAAGGGGGAGTTGTCTTTACAGATGTCAGTTGAGCCTCGAAGTGAGGTTCTCCCAGATTCCCCAGGCAGGCCTTAAGTCCATGCACAGTGTCCTTCTAAGAGACACACAGAGGAGAGACCTGGGGAGACGGAGGCCGGGTGCTGCCACGAGCCATGGAATGCCTGGGGCCACCAGAGGCTGGGGCCCTGAAGCAATCCACCTCCGGAGCTCAGGCTGATAGTGGGGGCCCTGCCAGCACCCCCACACGAAGGGAGTAGCACCTGCTGTTTTAACAGGGTCCCAGGCCACCCACCTCCCCCCCACGGCCCTGAGGCGGCGTGACAGTGAGTAGTAGGCTACACCCCGATGGAGTCACTGTGTTTACTAAGGGCACAGGACACAGCCTCCCAGCATGTCCCACACAGAACACCACGTCCACATGCCCTGAGCCGGCCCGCGCCCCACTCCCCCAGATGGCCCCACAGTGACTTGGGTGAGGTTACAAAACGAGAGTTCACCCCTGGGCCTCAATCCCTAGAATATGGGCGGGTGCAGAGGGGCAGTGGGACAGAGGCCTGCTCCGAGGCTGGTGGGCGGGGCTCCACACGCAGGGAGTGTGCGCAGGAGGAAGGCGTGCACTGAGGGCTCTGAAGCAGGGACAAAAGGGCAGAGCAGCCAAGCAAACAGCGCAGATGGGGAGGGGGGGATGACCAGGCTGTGGACACGTGGAGGCGGGGCAAGGACACACGTGCACTGGGTGCACACCCCTGTGGAGCCAGGGCTATCTCAGGCAGGTGTTCCCAGCAAGACACCAGGTAGGCAGTCTGTGTGTCAAGGTGTGTGGGCCCCTCGAGGCCCCGCCCATCTGGGCGGCCCACGAGGGTGCAGAGCTGGTGTCTGTGCTGCTCAGACACCGGGGGACATGCTGGCCAGCCTCTGCCCGGCAGGACAGACGCAGCCTGAGGGGACCTGCAGGTCTCCATCAGTGTGCGTTAAGGCAACAACGTCGCCAGAGCCCGACGGAGCGGGACCCGAGCTCAGTCCATGGACCCCTGGAGGAGGCTGACCTGCCCTGGGCTCTGGGGCAGCATCGGGGTCAGGCACGCACCCTCCTCATGGGTGGGGACCGCGTGAGGGCCCCAGGCAAGCTCCTCGACGCCCCCTGGAGCCACTCAGGCACCATTATGTTTCCAGAAGGGACCTTCCTCCCAAGGACCACTTGCCCACTTCGCCTGTTCCAGAACCTTCTCTCAGCGTTTCAACTCACACCTCCCCGCCTGCCCCAGGGCCTGCTACTAGCCTTACCCAACAGAATGCCCCAAGGCAGCAACAACCTGACCCTGCTGGGCTTCTGGGGGCTGGGCCCCCTGGTCTCCTGGACCTGAGCCATCCCTCCTGGCACTTGGCTAGGGTCCAGGTGGAGGCACACCTGAGAGCAAGGGGAGGGGAGCTGGCTTTCAATAGCCACTCCAGCGGGCTCTCCAGGCTCCCTCCCACCCTCCTAGCACTCAGGTGACCTGGGGAAGGGAAAGGGCCTGGGAGTGGAGGACAGACATCAGTTCTCCCTGCAGGGTGGCCCTCGCCCCGCCTGGCCTGCCGCATACCTTGCTGTGAAGCCAGAGGGTTTAAAGTCCGTGATTTTGCATTGCGAGCCCTGGGAGCCTTTTCTGGCTCTACTTACACTCCACACTAGGCCCCGAGAGAGTGCCTTGGCTCAGATCCCTCGGGTCCCCTGTCCCTGGACACGGCTGGGGGGAGGGGAGGGGCAGGAGGCCCGTCCATCTCGGACTCCCGCTTAGGTCCTCCTTTCGGTTGGCTGCCTTGGGCGCAGGGTGGGGGTGGCTCACCCGAGCTTGTGAGAAAGATTCCAGGGTTTTCATCACCCCTGCCCCCACAGCAGGGGTGTGTGTGTGCAGATGAGCACTCTGTGGGCGGAGGGGGTGAGGGGGCAAGGTCGGGCGCCCTGTGTGGGAGGGTGTCCAGTGGGGACAGAGGAAACTGATGGGCCATAAAAATGCCGGGTGTGGAGGGGCCCTGCAGTGACCAGGGCAGCCAGGACCCAGGCAGGCCAGGGAGCCCCACCTGCAGGAAGCCTCCCTGCACTGCCAAGGGGCCTGTGTAGCCAGATCGACCCTCCCCTGGCAGCCAAGACACCACCACGGGCCGACATTCCAGTGCCATCTGCAACTGCTGGAATCAGGAAGGCACTCCTGGGCTCCACCCCCGGCAGCTGACAGCTGACAGAGCAGGAGCAGCAGAGACCAGGCCTGTCCAAGTCAGGAACGTGCACATCCACTGGGCACAGTGTGTGCAGATATGTGTATGTGTTGGCATGCATGCAAGGGTGTGCACTCAAGTGTGCATATGAATGGGCATGTGTAAGGGTGTATATAGTTGTCTGTGTGCAGGCTACACCCTCATGTGTGTATATGTGTTTTGGCATGTGTACACGTGTGTTGCGTGTGATGTGCACCATGCGCATTGGCATGTCTGCAGACATGCATCCTCATGTGTACACATGTACAGTTGTGTGTATTTTGGCGTGTGTTTTGGGGTACACTCCCATATACGCATGTGTGTTCTGGCATGTGTGCAGGGTTGCAGCCTGTGTGTGCACACATGTGTACTTGTGTGGCTGTCATGTGCATAGAGGTGCACCCTCATGAGTGTATGTGTATATGCCTGTATCTACATGTGTTTTGGCCTGTGTGCAGTAGTGTGACTGTGTCCTTGTGTGTATGTGAACAGAGCATGAGAGAGGCATGCTCAACAAATGCACTTGCCTGGAGGAGCCAGGTTTATCATGGGAGTTCCTGGACTCAGCCACACAACAGTCACAAAGACAGGCACACTCATGTCACACACACATGCACACAGGAGTTTAAACACCTGCCTGAAGCCTCCAGCCTCTCCCTTCTCCTCTCTGGAGTGGGGGGCGGGGGGAGTACCCAGGAGTGCAGGGGAGAACCCTCTTTCCCTCCCCTCTCCTTCCCTACAGCCCCAGGCCATCCGGAACAGGAAGTGTCAAACAGGGAGTATCACAGCCCTCTCTCCAGGGCCCAGGGCTGATGAAGGCCACTAAGACCTCCCTTTAGTGCAAATGCAGATGGACAGGCTGTGCCTAGGTGAGACCTGCCTGGCCTGGCCGGGCACCATCCTGCACCAGTGCCTTAGGACCCAGGCCCTGGTGGCCCGGCAGCTCTGTGTGACACGTGTCTGCCTGGCAGCTCTGCAGACTAGGGGCAGGGGCTTTGCCGGCCACAGGGAAACACAGCACAAGGGAGGGAGAGAGGGAGCATGTGGTCAGATTCCTGTCTACACAACCTTCCAGGATCCTGGAGCCAGGGGGTGACAGAGAGCACACAGGCACCCCTGCCGAGAGCCTCTGAGAGGCAACCCAGCCCAGGTTGCCAGCAGCCAGAGGGCAGTGGGTGGTGTCCGCATTGTGGCTCCCACCGCAGGGTGGAACCACTGCCCTTGTGAACTAGGGGTGGGGGGGAATTGCAGAGGTCCTATCCCCACTGTACTGGCTCCATGTGCCAGAGATCATCAGTGCTCCTGGGAAAGCCAACTGAGGTGTCCCGTGGTAGGACAGGGTAGGACCCAGGGTTTCTGACAGCCTGGGGCTGCAGCTGTCCACCACTGCCTGCTTCACACAGGTGCTGAGTGTCCAGCGCCCCCCTCCCGCCCCCCCAGCCAGGTCAGCAACTCCTTGCAGCTGTTTTCAGTCCCTCCTCAGTGGGCAGGAGCCTCCACCACGGTTATCCACAAGACCACAGGCTGTCCTCTAGTCTCAACCATCCTACCACCACGGGACCAGGGGGCCTCCTCCTGTTATGGAGCAGGGACTGTCCTCCCCCACAGGCTCTCCTCTAGCTGTGGGGCCAGGGGCCGTGTGTCCAGTATAGGAGCACAGCACAAGGAAGTCCTTCCTCAAACTCAAATTAGACCTAAACCAGACCTTCTGAGAATCAGCATGTGCTTCTCTGTGTGTGGGCGGGGGGAGGGGGGGCGCTGACTTCAACCTGACACCTCAACCTCACCCATCACAGCCCTACAGGCCCCACCGCCCCAAGTGGGGGCTCTGGGTGTGTCCTGACTCCCAGGCTAAAGTACAAGGTTTGGGGGAGGGGCGGTGAGTGGGCCTTCCTGTGGCACTGGCAGTCACAGCCAGGCCTGGGCCAGAGAATGGAGGGAGGCAGCAGCCTGTCTTGGAGGGAAAGGCTGGCCTAGCCCCCAGCCTGGCTCTGAGTTCCCACTCCCGTCCTGCCAGGCATCTATGGGAGCAGATGGGTGAGAACGGCTGTCCACGGCCTGGTCCAGTGGGACAGAAGGGTCCCACCAGACCACCTGGCACTGGGAAGCTCCTCACCCACCCCTACGATCGCCTGCTGGGGGCTCTCCATCCAGGCTCTGGGCACTCCTTAACCCCTGCTCCAAGCAGCAGAGAAAAGAGTGGACCAAGGGGGTGCCTGCCCCTCTTCCCCAGTGCCACTCTCGCCAGCGCCTGTGGAGCCAGCTGCACATAGGCAAGCAGGCAGAAAACCAGGGAGGGGGTGTGGGTGGGGTGGGGTGAGACACAGGTCAGAGCAGCCCTGGTCCTCCAGGCTGGGCCTCCTCTGCTCCAGGACCACAGACTCCGGCAGCTTCCACCATGGACCTCTTGGGGACAGGAGGGGCATAGAAGGTGCTGACTGGCTGATGGACTGGTGGGAAGCTGACCTAAGCACAACAGGAAGAGCAGGGCTGGGGGGACACACAGGCTAATCCCTGCGCAGGGGCTCACAGCCCCAGGCCACTCAGCGTGGGCACCCACGCTGTGCCTCTGGATAGCCATCGACCACTGCTCCCCACCCGAGGCTGCTCCCAGCCCCAGCAAGGCGTGCCTCTAATGCTGGGCTTCCCTGGCCCTCAGACCTGGGGCTGAACTGGAAAGCCGAAGGCCACGCTGGGTAGTGCCCGGCCCCCTCCATGCCCGGGCCCCACTGAAGCTGGACCCCAGCAGGGTGGCCACCCGTGCCTCTCGGACTAAGAAACGGGTCCTCCTGGAAGCTTCGCAGCGAGCCCCCTCGGGGCGGTGTCCGGCCGCAGAGCCTCACTTCCGGGAGCCGGCCCAGCCGACGTCGCCAAAGGGGCCCTCGCCCGTGGCTGAGCGCGGCGGCGGCCCGCACGGGGTGCAGAGGTCGGAATCCGTGTCCGACTCGCCCTCGGCGATGTAGGGCCGCACCTTGGCGCAGGGCGCCACCGCCACATAGCCCCCGCCCAGCGTGTCCAGCTGCTCCCTGGACTGGGAGATGCTGAAGCCGCTGAAGGAGCGCTCCAACTCCTCGTGGTCCACCGAGGGGATGGAGATGGACGTGTCGCTGTCCCGCAGGCCGCCCTCGGCGGGCCTGGCCGAGCCCTCGCAGCGCAGGAACTCGGCGCTGGCCCGGTGGCCCCCGCTGTGCGCGGACAGCGAGCGCTCGTGCGCGGGCGGCGGCGGGATGCGCACCAGCGCCCCGGGGTCGCCCACGGGCGAGGAGCCCGGGCCCTGGCGCGGGCAGCCCTGCGACTGCCACGAGGTGGAAGGCGGGCAGTGCGCGGGCGGCGCGGCAAAGCTCTTCTGGCCCCCGGAGCTGGTAGAGCGCACCACCTTGATGACGCAGCCGTTCCTGCCCAGCTGCTCCCGGCTGTCCTCCGGGCTGTGGTAGGGCGGCGCGGGCTCCGGCTCCTTGGCGCCAAAGTAAGCCTCCGTCTCTGTGGGCGCGATGCCCATGCGCTGCATGTAGATGTTCACCAGGAAGTCCAGCTTCTTCTCCATGGACAGCACCTGGGGCAGGGCTGTATCAGGCGCGCCACTCGGTGGGGCCCTGGGGAGCCCACCCTTCACTCCTCCCGGCACAGCCAGCGTGCTCCCCAACCCCCAAGCCCCATGGGGGTCCTGCGGCACAAGGGAACTCAGGGTGGGGGTGGGGAGCTCAGTCAGGGACCTCAGAGGGATTTGAGGGGTTCCAACAGGTCCTGGAAGTAGTTTTGGCTAATTCCCGGGCCATCTATAGCTGTACCCCAGGCAAAGAAAGAAATCACCCAAGGGCTCCAAGAGCATTCCGTGGAGCTCCACAGAACCCTGTGGGCACCTCAGCAGTCCCAGGGTGCCTGCAGCATCCCACAAGGGCTCCCAAAGCACCCTTCCTCGCCTCAAAGTACTCTCACAGAAGCCCGCAGCACCCTCACCACGTCCTCCCCAGCAGAACCCCTCAGTGCCCATGGGCACTCAGCGCCCCAGCAGAGCCCACCTGCTTCTCCACTTTGCCCAGCCGCCCCATCATGCTGGGGTCCTCGGGCAGCTCCGCCTCGGTGGGGCCCTTGGTTCGGTCCTTGTCTGTGATGGGCGGGCCTCGGCCCACAATCTGGTCCACTCTGCCGAGAAGAGACCCCCAGCATGAGTGGGGGGCATGTGGCGGGGCCGAGCACAGCTCCCAGGGCCCCGGGCGCCATGTCTCCGGCCCCCCGTGGTTCCATTCCAGAGCACATGGGCACATTAGCGAGGAGTAAAGTGAAAGGAATCAGGTCTGGGCCAGTCACCCCTCCCAGCACCCCTCTCAAGCTAGGGTGCCCAAGCCAGCTGGCCCCACGAGATCGGGACAAGCCCAGTCCCTGCTCATTCCCCCTCCTGCCATCAGTAGTCACTGTCCTGACTCAGCCACCAAGGGCAGAGGGCCTACAGGGTACAGAGCCAGGGGCTGGGCTACCCTGAGACCCTCCTCTATTCCGGAAGGCACCCCCACCCCACCCTTCCCACCCCGCAGCTTTACTCCTACATAATGTGCCGCTGAGAAGGGTCAGCCGGGCAGAGCCTGGCAGGGGCAGAGCTCACTGTGTGAGTAGGAAGGAGGGGAAGCAGGAGGCGGGAGAGCCCGGCTCCATGCATGGGCCGGGAGGGTGTGGGGCAGCCGGAGCACACACGGACCAAGGATAGATGGAAAGACAGAGCTGGTGATCACCAGAGAGCGTGTATCTCAGCCACTCACAGCTACATCTGTGCTGGTGTGGGTGTGCCAGCCAGCTTATGTAGAAATATGCATGTGCACAAGTGTGTGTGTGCACCAATGAGCTTATGTAGGAGTATGCTTGTGTACAAGTGTGTGTGCACCAGCGAGCTCATGCAAGAGTGTGCTTGTGAATGTGTGTGTGCCAGTGAGCTTATGCAGGTGTGCTAGTGTACAAGTGTGTATGTGCCAGGGAGCTTATGCAAACATGCTTGTGAATGTGTGTGTGCAGCGAGCTCATGCAGGAGTGTGCTGTGCCCAAGGGCACTGTGCATGTGTGTGCACAAGTGTATACAGTAAATCCCAGCAAGCCCACTGGTCTGCCCTAAGAAAGGTGACTTCTGCCCTCAGGCACTGTGAGGTGTCACCTCACAAGGCTCCCAGGTGGCCCTTGAAAGGAGCTGCAGGGCTCTGCGGCCCCTAGGAAGCGCCCAGCAGGGCTCCTGCCCGGCCTTGGCTAAGCAGGGCTTTGAGTGTGGCCAGGTGAACAGCCTGGACAGACGCCAGGCCCTGTATGGCCTCACCCTCTGCTGGGTCTGGGGAGCTATCTTCCAGCTGTGCGAGGGCAGCAAGCCCCTGGTGTCCTTGGGTGAGCCCCCTCCGAGGGGGCTACGCAGTCCCCCAGCCTCAGTGCAGCCCGCATGCTCCCAGGCTCATGCACAGGCTGGGCCATGCACAGTGCGGTATGGGCTCCAAGCGGACATGGAAATGGGGGGACTTTGGCCTTTCTGGGGTCAGCATGATCCAGGCACAGCGCTCACCACCTCCGTCCATGCCACATGACGCCGCCAGCCGGCTCTTTGTTGGGACCAAGGCCAGGCCCGCCAAGGCAGACACCAGGAGGGGCCTCTGGGGAGCATCCTCCCCCTCAGCCCTGCCCCGGACTCCCACTCTCTCCCCTTCAGCCCTGCCCCGGACCCCCACTTTCTCCCCCTTAGCCCTGCCCTGGACCCCCTCTCCCCCACACAGCGGGTGCTGGGTGGGCATGTGGCTAGTTGCAGTGAGGTGAGGTGGCTGGTCAAGGTCTGGATCACAGTAGGACCTGCTCCTGCTGACCTACCGCCAGCTGCCCCCCTCCCCCCAGCCAGCAGCTCCTCCTCCATTGACAGGAAGGCGCGGCCACACTGCATGGGAGGGAAAGGCATCCACCCGGAGGTCACCCAGCCAGCAGACACATGGACCTCAGTGCAGGGCAACTCTGCCCTCGTTTCCTCATGGACACCCGTGGCCCTAGGCGGGTGTCACTGGTGTCCACAGCGAGGAATCTGGCTCCCTAGAGGAACCGCTGGACAGCCGAGCTCTCCTGAAGCCTCCCAGCACAGTGGCCATCCTGGGCGGTGAGCAAGGCGTGCGTCGTGTGGCCTGGCCTGGAGGGCCGGTGACAAGCGGTCAGGGCGTGTCCTAACCTAGGAGAGTACTGGGGCGACTCTCTCGGAGGGCCCGTGGGTCCTTTGGTGGGGTACTTCTTGTGCCGGGGAGTTGAAGGGGGCGGGGGACCCACAATCATATCTATCCTGGCAGCGTGAACAAGAGAAAAGACACCAGCAGACGTGTCATGGAGGAAGCCGCACGGGACAGCACAGCAGGCCGAGTGGACACCCAAGGGGGTGTCCTGCAGGCCTGCTCCCTGCAGGCCTCAGCGCCACCTTGCTGACCTCATCCCGGCCCAGTGTGTCCAGTGTTCAAGCCAAGCGTTGGCTGCGGAGGGGCCACAGCTGCCCGCCCCCCATCACAGCTGAGCCACCAGCATGCAGAGCAGGCCCGGGTGTGCAGCACCCCCAGACCACATGTGGTCCACAGAGCACAGGCCATCCTAGGCCCCGGGGCTGTTTGTCTAGTGGGTCTTTCCAGAGAGGACGAGAGAGTACTGGGCGCAGGAGAGCCTGCTGGACGAAAACAGCTGCCGTGAGAGACAAGAGAGACGTGGGGACATGTGCGGGGGGGGGGGGGGGGGGGGGGGGGGGGGGGGGGGGGGGGGGGGGTGTTAGGGCAACACCAGAACGTTCTCTCATACACGCATACACACGTCCTCATACATGCCCATACCCAGGCACCCACACACACTCCCTCATGCGCACACACACACAGGCGTGGCGCCACATGCACAGCCAGCGTTCAAGACTAGCCAAGCCTGTGAGAGGTGCTGAGCAGGGACGGCCCAGCCTTCACCCAGGAAAGCAAAGGGCAGCTCTCGGGTCTCCTGCCCGATGGGAACAGCTTATAGCTGAGAGAGGCCCTTCCCTAGCACCAGAGGAGCACAGAGTGCAGGCTCCCAAGGGGGCACATTGACCCCGCCGCAGATCCACCACAGCCCCTTAGATACCTGCCTGCATGTGCAGTCACACCTGTATGGGGGCTGAGGAATGAACACCACATGTGCTCACAGTGTGCATGACCCGCACTTGTGTGCACAACTGGGCACACACCCTGACTGCTTGGCTGCTGCAGACACAAGAGCCAGTCTTGGATATTCTTCCTACCCAGCGTCCTGCCCAGTAAGTGGGACTCCCCTGAACAAGCAGGTGGACAGACACCCTGCTGCCCTGAAAGAAGGGGACATGGTACGTGACCACTGCTGGTGGGACCACCAAAACCTAAGGTTTCACCTCAGAGAAGCCGCTCCAATCACAACAAACAGATGCACACAGGCATGGCACATATATGTGCACACACGCGCAAGCATAATATGCTGGTATATGTGTGCTCATGTGTGTGGACACATGCTTAACTACACACAAACACAGGCACACAGAGAGATGACTACACTCACATACCTGTAGTAAACATGAACGGGTAAACACACGCGCACCATATCACACCATTGTGCATGTACACATGTGCTCACACATGACAGACAGACCTGTGTACACACATGTATGAGAGGTTTTCCAAAAGTTGGTGGGAAAATGAGGTGATTAATGGGGAAAAAATGAGACAGATAATGAATGTCTTGAAACTCCTTTGCACAACACAGTCATGTTCTCATGTATGTACACGTGTGCATACACACACTGGAAAGCACACATACACAGTCGTGCACACAGTGCATCCATGTACACAGACACACCTGTGAGTCTACAGGCATACCCTCACACATACACACAATGTGCACACACAGCTACACTTGTACACACAACTGGACCTACATACACGTACGTGTATAGAGAGCTGCACACAGAGCAGGTGTGATCACACATGTACACATACACACGCGTGCACATGCACACACAACGTACATGTGTGCGCGCACGGGGCAGAGAAGAGGGACACGGACACATTGACAAATGAGGCAGAAGGCCGACTGTGGCTGCAGGGGCCGGGCAGAGTGGTGGGCAGCAGCGAAGGCTCACTGCCACACACGCCCGGCCCTGTGCCCTCCTGCCCCATGGCCACACTGCACGCCCCGGCGCCTGGCCCGCCTGCGACGTGGAGTGGCTCCGGGCCAGGTGGGGCCCTTGCCTGGACTGCAGGTTCTTGATGCGGGACAGCATGTCGAGGTGACCGGCAGAGTACTGCTCGATGACATCCATCACATCGTAGGGCCGAAGGCTCTCCTTGAACTTCCGCTTGGACACGAGGAACCGCATGACACTGAGGGGGCAGAAGTGCAGGTGAGCCCATGGGGCCCCCAGGCCACGCCTACTTGTGTGCCTCCGACCCTTGGTGTGGTGGGGGCCACAGGACCAGGCTGCAGAGGTCAGCAGTCCCCTCTGACACCCGCAGTCCAGGCAGGTCCCTCATGGTCCCAGAACCCCCAGCCACCTCACCCCAATGTCCTCCCTTGGGGGGCTGTGGAAGAATGCCAGCATGACCCCTTTGCAGCATGTGTTCCCCCCCCACACAAGCACCCCAGTCCCAGCAGACACAGGGAGCCTGGGCAGGGCTGTGGCCCACCCACATTGGCTCAGCAGGCCCCTGACTCAGCTTTGAGACCCAGTGGCCAACAGATGAGGCAAGAGTCTCCAGGCCCCCTCCCTGGGGCCCCTCAAAGCTCCCTTTTGATCCCCTCTTTTGACTCCCCTTGGGCCCTGCCCCCTCCCAGTCCTTGCCCTGAGCACAGCAGCTGCCACTCACCACACAGCTCGGATGCTGACTTTGAGCCCGGGGGTCAGGTCCTCGGTGACGAACTCACAGTTGCAGCTCTTGTTGTCCTCCACAGCGTCCTCCCCAGGAAGGCTGGCTTCTGGGTGGAAGGACACACGGTCTGTGAGGGGAGGGGGGCCCAAGGTGGGCTATGTGGACAGAGGGCCTTCCACCCCCACCCCCTGCCAGGATGGGGTCTGGCTGGTGACAGTAGCAAAGGACATTCCGGCCCAAGGGCGGGCTCAAAGGCTGGCCTGGTCACAGGGTGGCGTCCAGAGGCTGGCCACTGCCCACTGGAGCAGACCTGGCGACCCACCTTCGGAGTTCTGCCTGGAAGCCGCACCCTTAATGCGGAAGGCCTGCCGTGCCCGGCTGCGGTCACCGAAGCTCCAGCTCTTGGGCACCTTGCTGGGACTGTCCTCCAGGCTCTGGTCAGCGCTGGGCGACCGCCGCACCGTCGGGGCCTGAGGGGACCCCTTCCCCTTGGCAGCCATGCCTCGGGGGCTGGAGAAGACACGGTCTTTCAAACTGACCTTCTGACTGCTCCAGGGTGATCACGTGCGCAGGCAGGCAGACAGACAGACAGAGACAACAGGAGAAGTCATTGGGAGACCAGGAGCAGCCGAGGCCCAGAGCAACTGCCCCGAGACTCAGGGGCGGGGGAGGCAGCGCCTGGCTTTCAGTCACTTCCTGCAGCCCTGAATGTCTGCCTCCCCCCTCCCAGACACCCCCACAAGACAATCCCCACACTCCCTTCTCCCTTGTACTCATGCCCCGACGTCAGGAGAGGAGGCCCCAGCAGGGACCCCAGCAGAAGCTGCTGGTCCAAGCAGCCTTGGATGGCAAATTCTGGGCGGAGAGATGACACAAGGCACGCGCTGGCCTGCAGATTTGTTGCCAAGGGGACCCATCTCAGGTCCCAGAGTGGAGTAGTCCTCTGCCAAACAGGACACACTGATGGCCACAGAGGGCTGCATGGAGTCCCTGAGCTGGGCACTGGGCGGCAGGAGAGGCAGTGTGGGCCTGACTTCCTCTGCCAGCTGTGGCCAGCCACACCGTGAGGCAGAGGAGTCACGTGACTGAGGGCTGTGCTTCCCAGACCGGCCCCAGTGGTCTTCCTGTCCTCAGCTGGGCGCCTTGGGACCTGGCTGACCACCGAGGCAGCCAGGAGAGAGGGACAGGCCCCAGCACATTGGTGGGGTGCACTGTGGACATGGCCCCCGCCCGGCTGCTGTCCGTGACCCAGGAAGCATCGGGCTCTGGGGCCCAGCAGCCACCAGCTCCCTGCCACTGAGCTGTTCCCCCTCTGCCCAAGAGCTGCCCAGGGAACATCCCGGCCGCCCACAGGACTCCTGGCCCACTTTCTGTCCCAGAGAGACCAGCCTTCCAGAACAAGGCCCCTCATACCCCAGCCCAAGGCCCAGCTCCTGACCCCAACATGGGCCCCTTGCTCAGCAGGTGCCCAGGCCCACGGCCACTAAGGGAGAACAGGCCTGGGGCCCCCATGTGCTACCACCAGGGGCCAGCTCTCAGGACCCTAGGCCCCAGGTGTGTGTGTGTGTGTGTGTGCCTGCCTTCTGGGAACCCTAGGCCCCAGGTGTGTGTGTGTGTGTGTGTGTGTGTGTGTGTGTGTGTGTGTGTGTGTCAGGGGTAAGGGGGCAGTAGGCAGCCCAGCTTGCTCCACTTGGCAAAGCAGGGGTTTCCCCTGGGCCCTGTGTCTCCAGGGCCCCCAGCCCCTTCCCACTACCTAAAGCCAGGAGCTCCTGCCCCACCAAGACCGCCAGCTGGGACCTGGCCGGGAGGTGGATGTGGCCAGGAAAAGCCCATTGTCCAGACACTGCCCCTGCTGTCAGCAGGCTGAGGGCGATATGAGCACCGAGTCACCTACACCCCCTCCCCACCACCGGGCTCAGGCTCCTCCAGGGGACAGCCAGTGCCCCAGAGGCAGGACCCTGTGCCTCCCAGGCTGCCTGTGGGTGTCACACATCCTGACTCGCCCCCAGCCCAGGAGCCCCTCTCCCACCATGCTCCCCCCCACCTGCCCCCAGGCCAGTCACAACCCCAATGTGGCCATGACGACGCAGAGCTGACCACCACATCCCGGCCAGGGGTCCCTGTGGGTGTCTGAGGAGCCGCTGCTGCTGCAGCAGGCATGGGCCCACCCTGTTCTTGAGACTGGGGATGAAGACCCGTTCTCCTTAGACAGTGCCGGGGGCAACCAACAGGTGGCTGGACACACAGCCGGAGGGGATGCAGCTCTGTTGACATCTCCAAGAAGAGGGGCCCCAAGTCCGGTCATCTGGCTTCTGGCCGTGAACTGCCAAGTGTGGCCAGGAAAGGTAGGCTTTTGGGGGGCCCTGATGTCCCCCACTCTCCCTGCTCCCACTTCAGAAGCCTAGCCACTGGCCTCAGCCAAGGCACCACCCCACCTGGGTCTCGGTTCTGTCCCCTCTCAGGTTTCCAAGTGACCTCCCAGGGTGGGGACAAAGTGGGTGGATGGGATGCAGCCCTAGCAGGCAAGTAACTCCTGGAACCCCAACTTCCACAAGCAGCAGGACTGTGTCCCTGAAGGAGTGAGGCTGCTCTGGCCTGGCCCTCGGGCTCCTAGCTCCCACCGCACACCCCCCATCCCAACCTGCTGGCCCCCAGGTGTCCACACAGGTGGAGCTGTGGGGCTCCTGGCCTCACTAGGGGCTTCACGCCCACTCAAGTCCAGCACTCAGAGAAAGGAAGGAGCTGTCGCCTCTGGGCACCCAGGGCAAGCTGCCAGGCAAGTAACTCAAGCCTGCGGTCCAGATGGAACCAGGATGGGAAGGGACAGCCCAACTGTGAGAGGGGCCGTATTAGGAGAAGGGATGGGGTACACAAGACCGGCCTGACCCCTCTGCCCTCCACACAGACTGACCTGACCCCCGAGAGCCCCATCTGTGGCCTGAAAACCCCCACCCCCCTACCAAAACCCAGAGAAGCATGGCAGGTGTGCCAGGGCTCACGCAGGCCTCGCCCTGAGCGCCCAGGACCCAGTTCTGCCTCTGGGGCTGCCACGGCCCCACAAGCGTCAACCTCAAGACCAGCAGGCAGCGAGCAGAGAGAGTCCAGAGGACATCCTGGGGCGAGGAGAGGCCCTGGGCCACGTCCTCAGTAGAGAAGGTTCTGGAACATGCAGATGCGGGCCCACAAGCATGCTGGGTCCTGATGCCTGGCCCAGTGGCTGTTGGGACTGGCACCCACCAACCACATGCACATGGGCAGCTCCTGAACATTCTGGGTCCACCACAGGAAAGGGGGGCTGGCCAGACAGGGGCCACTGAGCAAGCAGGACAGTCGTGTCCACATGGGGGTAGGGGTAGGGTGGCAACAGTGGATGGAGGGAGACAAGGAGGGGGGTGAGGAGCCCACAGTGCAGGTGTGACCAGTCCTGGGGAGGGGGTGGGGGGGCCTGTGTCAGGAAGGGGGTGGCCTCTGGCTCTGTGTGTGTCAGGCGGGAGCTCTTGGAGCTGGCCCTGGCAATGGAGCGCCCCTCGGGGCACAACAGCGGTGCTGGAGGGATGGGCCCACAGGCCAGCCCCTCAGAGCCATCGCCAGGCTCCATCCTGCGATCAGCTGGGTCCTTCCCCGGGCACCCAGGGGGCGGGGCGGGGGCGGGGCCGCGCAGCCCCTCCCCATCCGGGACCTCCGGGAGCAGAGAGGGCGGGAGGGCAGAGAGCCGTGCAGCAGAGCCATCCGTGCGGGGTGCGCGGTACCTAGAGTGTCCAGGGCAGCATCCGCACAGGGACTCTCTGCTCGGGCCGCCTCTAGTGGAATGAGGAGAGCACAGTTAGGGTGCGGTCCGCGCCGGCCGGCCGGCTGGCGGTGAGGGGCCCGAGGCAGCACCCGGCGCCCCGGCCCTGCCCCTGGGGAGCAGCGAGCGAGCGAGCGAGCGAGCGAGCGGGCGGGAGCGCGGACGGCTTCGTGGGGGTCCTGCACCGGCCTGGAAAAGAAAAGAGGCCTCTATTTTTGGAGAGAAGTCCTGCTTTGTTCCTCCAAAAATACCTTTTCCTTCCAAAGGCGGAGTCGGGTCCGCGTCTTTCCGAGATAGATTATTGTTCGCTCCGATCATGCCAGCAAACCCGTAGTACATGCGCTGAGACCGCGCCGCGCCCGCCGCGCCTTGGGGCTGGCTTGGCAGCCGCACATTTCAGGAAGAAATGTGCCCTTGGGCCACGAAGCAGTGGGTGAGGGGTCCGCACCCAGCTGGCCCCACGAACACACCTGGTCCTGAGCAACGGCCACAATCTCGGAGAAGGGGCCAACACGGGGCCCTCCTGTGGGCTCATGGGGTCTCAGAGGACCCCCCCCTGCAGCACTCGCAAGAGCCCTGGGCCAGGTAGAAGCCTACTTGCAGGGGGCGGCTTCCTAGGAACGGGGGCGAGCGGGGCCAGCGGCTGGAGCATGGCCCCAAGCCTGACCTCCCCCAACCGCAGGCCATGGAGACCTCTCTGCTTCAGAGCAGTTGAAGCAAACATACGCAGCTCTGGACGCTGTTCCTTCCTCATTTCCCCAAACTGCCCTGTGTGGCTGCTTATGGTGCCCACAGAACCCTACCATGGCCTCCCTGCAGGGGACAGGTCTCCTTCCACCCTCGGTTAACCCCATGATGAGACCAGATATAGAGCACCCACCTACATTTTCCACCCTGGGGCTCAGTGGAAAGCTGCTGTCCCACCGCGAGTCATGCTGCCGTCCAATTCCGATGGGGGCCGTGTAGTTATGTGAATCTCTCCCCAGAGAGCCCCTTGGACCCACATGTCCTCCTCAAAATCCAGAATGTCTTCATTTTATTCAAAATGCCTTCCATGACTGAAAACACGTGGTTTCACAACTCTGCCTTGAAAGGCTGAACAGTAAGGGTGCCTGACCTGATGCTGCACATCACCTGTGCTGCCGCCTCCTGAATCCCACACAACCGAATGACCCAAGATGCACTTCCCAGGCATTCCTGTCAGCATGTTCTGCTGGTGGCCCACGCATGGCCCCTGAATGTGGCTGAGGGGCCATAAGGTTCCTCTCTGACCTCGAGCCCTTTCAGAGAGCTGCCAGGTGGCAGCACCTGGACAGAGGGCGCCTTGAGCAGCAAGGAGGCCATGGGGGAGGGGTGCCCTGGCTGCAGCTGCCCCTGAGTGTGACCCCACTGCCGAGGCTCTGAAGACCCCGCTTGGACATGCAGCTCAGCTTAGGTGCTTAGGGGCTGGCCGGACAAGGTGCTACCCTGTGAGAGGTTACCCAGGGAGGGACTGGGTGCCCCTCATGAATGGGGCTCATGACACTGAGGCATGGGGCCTAGACATTGCCCAGGACTGGACAGAACAGACACAGGGAGACACAGCCGCTGCTGCCCAAGAGGGGGCCCTCCAGGGCCGAGAGGACGGGGAGGTTGGGGGGGGGCCGGGGATAGGGGTAAACAAAGGGCCACTTGGGTCGAGACGAGATAGATCAGTTGACAGAGGTCCCCCAGCCCCTGCACAGAGTGACTCACCAGCACAGCCTCAGAGCTCGGTATCCTCTGCCCAGTGCCCACCTAGACCTGGGGCATCTGTGCCAACGGAAGCAGCACCATGTGCCCAGGTGTCCCCACAGTGGGGCCTGGCAGACTAGAGGCCTTCGCACCACCTTCCCCTCAGACTCTTCAGAACTGGGCTCCTGGGGAGACGGACATGGGACTTTCCACAAGGAATTCTAAGGGGGCACAGAGCACAGAACACCCCACAGAGGGCCCTATGGGAGGAAAAATGTAGAACTTCCACAGAGAACACTAAAAGGGACCAGGCACTGAACGCCCCACAGAGACCTCCGAGGGACAGACCACACACCACTTCACAGAGACCCCGAGGGAGAGGGTATAGAACATTCTACAGAGATCCCTGAGGGGGGAAGGGGACATAACCCTCCACACAGAGACCCCTGAGATGGATATGGGACAAAACACTCCACAGGGAGACCCTGGGGGTGGGGGTGCAGGGCACAGATCACACCCCTGAAAACACTATGGGCAGGGTTCAGAACATTGTGAAGAGATCCTGGCAGGAGACGGCATGGGACATTCCAGAGAGACCCCTAAAGGGGCCTAGGGCCCAGAAACCACAGAGCAGCCTGAAGAGGCTGGGCACCGGGCACAGACATTCCACAGAGACCCCTGGAGGGTCTGCGTCCCTCCTGGAGCCCTGCTTTCAGACTGCAGCCTCATCCCCACAGACAGAGCAGCATGACAGGGCCAGGGGCAGGACAGGGCAGAGAGTACGAGGCTTGAGTTTCCGTATGGGGGAGGGGGGGAGAGACTATGAAGAAGCTGTTGGGAAGGGGTTAAAGCCACAGGGCAAAAGCGGGGGGCCGGGGGTAGGGTGGGGGGAGCTGAGCAGGTATAGTAGCCAGGGGCTCTGGAGCTACCTCTCCTGCCCTATGAGATGGCCTCCCTCCACCAGGGGTCCTGCGGGCCCCCCACGAAGCCTGCCTGTGCACCCTGCTCTCTAGTGGACTTCCTGGATGAGTGTCAGGCTGGTGGCAGTGAAACTGATGACCCATCTCCTCGGCGCATGTCCCCCAACTGGGCGCACACTAACCCCCTCACCCCCCGCCTCACAGGTCGCTCCCCAGGCCCCAGGCCAAGGCGGCTAGTCACCACCACAGCACCGCTGGGAGCTCCCAGAAGCCTCTCAACTTCCAACCCAGGCTCAGAGTCCAGCCAAACTGGTCAAGTCAAGGCCCTGCCCCCTCTTTGGGTCTGGGGGCCAGGGGAGGGGGCAGTGTCATTCTGCATCTCCCCAAGCCACCTTAGGGAGAAGGAGGACAGGTAGGCACCATCCACTACCCAGGCACGTGGGCTCTGAGCCACTCAGAGACCCTCGAGGTCACACACAGGAGGATCTGTGTCCGAGCTGGACTTGTATTCAACACCAGGACAGGACATGGTCTCCGGATGGACTGGCCCACATGCTGCCTCCTCAGCCCCTCCTGTCTCCACACCTGACAGGCGGTCACCTCCCAACCACCCATGCGGACCAACTGGGGGCCCAGAGGAGCAGGCAGCACCCAACAGCTTCTGTCCACCCTGGCAAGGCCCAGGAGGATGGGGCCTGTCCACTATGGGAGCAGGGTGGGTAATGCCAGAGCTGGCTGAACAGATGCAGCCCCTGGTCCCTGACAGTCCAGAGACCTTCCACCACCCACCTGCTCTGGCTACAAGCACTGGGCCTCTGCCCACCTGGCCAGGAGGACAGGTGCCCGCTCCCAGCCTCCACCTTCACAGGCTAAGAGGTTGGACGGCATGACTGCACAAAGAAGCCCAGAACTGGCCTTGGAGTCGAGAGAGGGAGCCCATGGGAAGCCCCCTGACTGCCCAATCTCGGGCAGCAGCAAACGGGGGAGAGGTGATCAGGGACCTACGTCACCACCAGCCACGCTTGGACACAGACAGGCTCACGCTCAGACCTGGCCGCACCTGCGCCCTCTTTGGATCACGCACAGGCACGGGGCCCAGCTGTGAGCAAGCCCGGGAGAGCAGCGGGAGTGGGTACCGACCTGGGCGACAGCTCCGGCTGAGGCTCCTTCCTTTAAAAGAAGCATAGCGTTAGTGGGCAGCCACTGGGTCATGCAGCCAATGACCAAGGGAAGGGGCCTCCCTCACCCCTGCAGCCACCAAGAACCCACTAGGTGCAGCAGCCCCCTTGCACCTAACCACATCCCCACCGGAGGGGCTCCCACAAAGACAGGTTGGCACAGAAACTGGCAACCCACTCCCAAAGCCCCTGCCCTTCAGGGGGCACCATGGAGGTCAGAGGAGCCAGGGCCTGAGGGACGTGGCAAGAGGAAGCCACTTTGTGATATGACCCTGAGGTTGGGCGGCGCCCCTGCCTGCAGTGGACACTGCCTTTCATCAGAATACTACCAGTTCCACACGGGGAACACGTCAACTCCACAATCACTTTCCTGGACACACAAGGGACTGGTTTCCCCATCGTAAGTGAATGGAACTACATGGTGACACCATTGTCGGCAGCTTCACCACAGGCAGGCATGGGAGTGGGTGCCCCACATCTCCCTGAGCCGACTCCCCCCACCCTCACTTTCCTGCACCCTGCCTGTGTGTAGCACTAAGTGGAAATGAGGGATCATCCTCACGGACCCCCAGGGCATGTCCGGGCGGCCCTGGCACCCTAGGTGGACTGTCCGTGATCCCAAACACCAAGCCATCGTGACAGGGATGGCCCCACACAGGGACAGCCAAGGCGGCACAGGGACTTGAAACCTCCTTGGGGCTGGGCCCCTCGAGACAGAACCCCTCCACACCAGACTCCCCTCAGGATTGACGTCCACTGCAAAGAGGCCTGCCCAGCTCCCAGGACCACCACCCCTCCCCAACCGCCAGCCTCAGCCCATCTCTGCAGGCGGGACTCATGGGCCACCTCTGTCTGAGGGGCTCTCAGGAGACTGTGGGGCAGTTCCCCTACCAAGCGCCCTTCAAGCACCCAGCCCCCACCACTGTACCTCCGTGGGAAGGAAGGGGCCCGGCCCCACCCCAGCCCCGGGGGCGGCATAGACAAAGGAGTGGAGGGGTGAGACCCAGGGGCCGTGGAGAGCGCTGAGTCAGAAGCTCGCCTTCCTCTGCCCCACCCCACAGCGTCCTGGCTGCAAGAGGCAGCGCGGGCCCAAACGCAGGCTGGGGAGGGTCACGTGAGGCTAGGAGAGGGGCCTTCTAGGGGGAGGCTCCCCCCACACCCTCAGCTCCAGCCGGCCCTCCGCCCTCCCCGCTGGGTCCCCGCCTCCGCCCCCTCCCCTAGAGAAGGGAGAAAGCTCTTCCTCCTCCAGCCTGTCCCCTTGGGGATCCGCCCTCTCGCCCCACAGCACTGCCCTGCGCGCCCGCCCTCAGCTGGCCCCGCCCCAGGCTGGCCCCGCTGCGCTTGCCATGCTGCGCGGGCCAGTCCCTGGCTGAGCCCGCGTGGCTGACCTGAAGGCGAGGCCCGATTTGCTCTTGAGGTTCCGCAACAGCTCCAGCTGGTTCAGAGGCGGGATGAGCCTGGGGGAGAAGAGGGGAGGTCTCAGAGTCAGGGGGCGCACTCCCGCCTCTTACCTTGTCACCCCTGTGGAGTGGTTGCTAGTGGGATAGGAAGGGCCACCCGAGCTCAGGACCTCCCTCCTCGTGAAACTCCCCACCCGGTGACGAACAGGAAGCTGCAGAGGGAAGGGGTGGGACCTGGGCTCCAGCGCTCAGCACACCCTCTTCCCTGACACCAGGGGTATTGCCTTAAGATAGTCCCAACCTGTTTGGGGTCCTGGCCCCTCTCCACAGAGGCACTCTGCCAGTGGCAGGAAGGGACTGCTGGGCAGAAGGGCGTGCCCCAGGGACAGGCGAGCCTCTCCTGTCAGGCCCAGGTCCCACAGAGACTCCTGTGTGCTGACTGGTAATCTGCAGACAGCCCTTCCGCCCACCGTCAGCACTGGAGGGGCTCCGGGCAGCCTTGCGCCCTAGTGCCTGCTGACACTCACACCTGGTGCCTCAGTGCCTCCTGAGAGCCACTCTCAGGGGTCCTCTGGGCCCTGGCTCCTGAGACTCACCCCACACCTGCCCCCACTTTGCCTCTCGGCCCCGACTGGCGGAGGGGGTACCTCTGACCTGGGTGAGGGGGCGTCTCCCCTTTCCTCATTTTTCTCACCAGTCCATACTCCCAAAGCTTCGCCCCTCCCCCACAGACCTGCTACCCAGAGTCCCTGTGTCACAGCCTCCTGCCTCGCCCCTCCACCCTCCAGGCCCTGACCCTCCAGCCTCACCCTGAGGCCTCAGGTTCGCTCACACTCATGGCTCCCATGTCCTTCAGCACGGCCTCCACCAGGCCCCCACTGACTCAGGCTCTGCTTCTTGCCTGCCCTGTCCCCTTCTCCTCAGCACCCCTGACCAGCCTGCGGTGTCCCACCTCCACCTGCTAAGCCCTCCCCCTCCAAGTTGGCCCCTCCAAGGCCTGCCCAGGCTCTCTGGGCACTAGAGGCGTCATCAGACGGTGTGCGACCCCACACTGTGCTCCCAGCAGGCTGGCTACACGGCCCCTTTGCTGCCACAGATGCCGCAGCAGGGGCAGGCTGGGGGCCTGTGTGCCCCACATACACTTTCCCTCCCGGGTTAGCACGTCGAGCAGAAGCCCAGGACCAGTAAGTTAGTCAGCTCTGGCCAGGGCAACAGACCACCCAGGGTGCGGTCCAGCACCCTCCGGGTCACTGGGGTCATGAGTGGGGCCAGGGTTAAGGTTCCAGGGTGGAAACACAGGGTGAAAGCCAGACGGACATGCCGGGGGCCCTGGGCAGCAGCACTGAGGAGAGGGGCGGCCTGGCCGTGCACATACCACACACATGTGCATGCAGCCCTGCCCCACAGGGGACACCCGGTAGAGGATGAGGGGCGATGTGCCAGCGGGGAGCGAAGCAGAAGGGAGGTGGTCAGAGGGCTGAGGATCAGGGTCCCCAGGAAGAGGTTAGCACTAGCTTGGGGGCAGTGCAGGGGGACAGCGGACAGCTGGCCTCGGGAAGACAGCTCCTGCCGTAGGCCCCACAGGGAGCCTCCCCTGTAGTGGGACCTCTCACTGCTGGGGTGGCTCTCTGCAGAGAAGGTGGACAAAGGTCATCACCCCAATCGATGAAGAGCCTGCCACAACCTGAAGGAGTGCCTCCAATCTCTCACCCGCCAGCCGGCCCAGCACCCCGGGAACCCAGGAGTCAACAGGAGAAGGTGTTGGTGCCCACCAGCACCTGTGCCCCAGGGAAGGTCTCTGAGCACTGCAGCCAGCAGTCCAGGACAGAATGCAGGAGTATGGACCTGCTACCCACAGGCAGACCCGAAGGGAAAGCTCAAATGGGCATGAAAGGGTGTCTACTCTGCATGTCACTGGGGGGAGAGGTCCTGAAGTGAGGACCACTGTGGCTGAGGTGAAGCTTCCTGTAGCCCCCACCCCCACCTTCAGGGGAGAGCCACCTGGCGCAGGCACACTCACTGGAGCAGCAGGAAGGAGCCAAGGGGCCACCCTGCTCCTCTCTGCCCTGAGAGGGTAGGGGGCCCACAGCAGGAGAACCCCCACATGGACTGGGGGAACCCACAGAGGGAGAAGCCCAACAAGGTCCCTGAGGTGCACCCTATATAAATTGGGGGACCCCATTGAGGGAGAGCCCTGGAGGGCCCTGAGGTGTACCCAACACGGGTTGGGGGACCCCACAGAGAGAAAACCCCAACAGAGGCCCTGAAGTACACCCCACATGGGCCAGGGTACCCTACCAAGAGAGAACTGGAACCAGTACCCAGAGGTGCACCCCACACACCTCCATGGCCCCAGTTGTCCTGCCCAAAGGGGGAAAGTTGATCCTAGTTTAGGAAGGGCCCTTGCCCCCAGACTTGGGCCCTTAGGTAGGACTGCAGACACCTCACCTGGCCGCTTCAGCTTCCCCCTAAGTGGGACGGTGGGGGTAAGGGGGGGAGGGGGAGGGGACTGCAGAGCCAGACTAGCCAGACTAGACAGGGGGAGAATGAAAGCAAGGAGGAGCAGGAAAAAAGGGGCCCAGGAGCCAGAGGCAAGTCGTACTGGGGGAGGGATGAGGATTCAGGGAAGGAGGGTCCCAGGAGAGGCAGGGAGGCACCATGAGGTCCGGGGCAGGGTGTCAGGGCCAGTAGCCTTTGGCCTGACCGCCCAGCAAAGGTGGCTGTGAAGAGACCACTGACCGGGCCAGGGCCAAGGTCCCCAGAATCCCAACAGCCCCAGACAGAACGAGGGGCCACACCACACGGCTGTTCACAGATGACATGCATTCCTACCTGGAGGCCCCGTAGGTTTGGGTTTGAGAGCTTTTCACGTGTGTTCACACACACACACAAAGGGAAAGAAGGGGAGTTTTAAAAAGAACGGGGTCAGAGAAAAGAAACGGAAAAAGGAATGGAGGAGAAGGGGGGACAACAGAACGGAGAGAATTAGCTGGGCGGCCTGTCCACGGCTGTGACCGGAGCCCAGCACCCTCCCACCTCACACAGCCTGTCGCAGGGCTCCAGGGCCCAGGGTGGCTGGTGGGGGGATGCTGAGAGGGGGAGGGAGCCACCAGGACAGCTGGTGCCCAGCACCCTCTTCCTGGGGGACTCACCCCTACAGGGGCATGCACACAGTAAAGTGAAAGGGGGTCTCAAGACCCTGTCCCCAGCCTGAGAAAGCCCCAGCAGAGCTCTGCGCCACCCCCACCCCACCCCCACTGCCCATGTACGAAAGCTGCAGGTATTACAGAAACCTTTGAAAAGAGGGAACCCTAGTGCCCACCCCAGAGGTGCCTGAGTCCAGCACAAGACCAGAGGAGGCCCAAATCCTGAGCAACAGTGTGCCAAGGCCAGCTGACCACGTGTCCTTGTGAATCAGGAACCTGTGCAGAAGCTTGGCTCCCACAGGCCGGCTTAGACCTCCTTCACCTGGGGTCTCTCTGCTGCCTCCTACTGGGGAGCCTGGGCTTTCTGTAGCCTCCTGCTCCCAGCACCCCTAGTGTGCCTTGGACAGGGCTCAATCTCCTCAACAACTCCCCCCCTTCAGGGATCCTGGTCCCCTGGGGCTTGAGGGTCAATCCCTGACATTGTTTAAGCTCCAGGACCTGCCGGGAATGACCCTGGCCAGTGTCCAGAGCAGAGGAACCCCGGGGCTCTGGGGAGGGGACGGGGCTGTCTTGTCACGCTGCTACAGTAATACAGGACACAGCACACAGCATAGGACACCAGCCAGGGCAGCAGCCTGGCAGTGGGGACACCACCACAGCACAGGAAACGAAAAACAGAGGCAGTACTCAGAGTCCACCATCAAGACCCTTTACGGAAAGTGCACGCATTGTAAAGGAAGAAAATTAAAACCGTGAACAACAAACAAAAAATAGCCTTGGAACAAATGGACACAACACAACCAGTGCTCCAGTCGCCACAGGGAGGGCTGAGACTTGAGCCACGGGGCGCCGGGCCTGGGGTGCGGGGCAGTACCTGTACATAGGCACAGTCATGGTGCGCTCGTAGTACTGCCAGGTGGAGTGCAGGTCTGTCCGCGAGAGGTTGGTGGCGTAGAACCTCCAGGCAGACTGCAGAGGGGACACGGAAGGGTGAGCAAGTTCCCCTCCCTCACAGACCAGGACCAGAGTGTCCTGAACCAAGAGCTGCCAGATGCATGCACTGCATCAGGCCACCTTTGAGACCACCCACTGGCCATGGCCAGCAGGGGATCTGAGGGAGGGGCAAGAGCCTGCAGTCAGCTTATCCCATGGCAAGTGCCCTGGTGATGGTCACAGTGATATTTCTTTCCTTCTGTCTACTCCTGTGGACTTCACACTGACTGATTTTCTGCTGCCAAGCCATCCTTGCATCCCTAGCGTAAGCCTCCCTTGCCCCGGGGTTGGCTGATCTTGAATATTGCTGCATACGGCGTGTTAGTCTCCGGTTTTCTCGTGGTGGTTTTGTCTGGCTTTAATGTCAGTGTGACCTGGCCCTCAGAGAGTGCTTCCAAGGCGTTCTTTCCCTCTCTGGGTTTCGGCAAAGAGTCTGAGAAGGATTGGCACAAATTCTTCTTTAAATGTTCGGTGGAGCTCGTCAGGGAAGCCATCTGGTGCTGGGCTTCCCCTTGTTAAGAGGCATTGTTCTTATTGACTCAACCACTACTTGTTAGAGGTCTACTCAGCTTTTCCACTGCTTCTTGAGTCAGTCTTGGTAATTTGTATCTTTGTAGGAATTTGTTTTATTTTGATGTTGTTACCCATGGTACTCTCTTAAAATACTTTTTGTTCCCATAATGCCCCCACTAGTGGTTGTGAGTTGGAATGCTAATCACAAGGTCAGCAGTTCGAAACCACCAGCTGCTCCACAGAAGAGGCTTTCTATTCCCATAAAGAATTACAGCCTCAGAAACCCAGAGGGCAGGTCTACCCTGTCCTGTAGCATCGCTATGGGTCAGAATCAGCTCCATGCAGTGAGCTTGGTTTGGTTTATTCTCAATCAAAGGAGCCCTGGTACCACAGGTCAGCAGTTTGAATCCACCAGCAACCCCAAGGAAGAAAGATGAGGCTGTCTGCTCCCATAAAGATATATAGCCTCAGCAAGCCCGGGGGGGGGGGGGGCAGTCCTACTCTGTCCAAGTGGATGCGTAAAAGGGGCTTGTGAGTGTGAACCGGCTTGGCTGTGTCAGGTGTGTTGGTCTGTGCACAGAGAACCACTCCGGAGGTCATCGACCTGCCCTGTCCTCTCTGCTCCAGGCCAGACTCAGCCCTGGCTGCCTTGTCTTTCCAGCTCCTCCGGGTACACAGCTCGATGCTTATGTGCAGCCTCCCTTCCTTCACTGAGGCCCACGGGGAGCAGTTTCTTTGAGAGCCCCGCTGCGTCGTGCTTTTAACTCGTGTCGCTGCACTTTTCTGATTCCGTTCGTAATTTCGTCTTGGGCCTGTGAGCTGTTTAGGGGAGGCTGTTCTCCGTCCAAGTGTCTGCGAATTGTCCAGGCCTTCATCTGCGCTGCCCTCTGGGTTCATCCCACTCTGCCGGAGGAACGCTGTGTGACTTCCATGGCCCACACGTGGAGCACCTGGGAGAGCCACCCAGGGCGCTGACACCAGCCAGTACTCCGCTGACAGGTGGCACATTCTGGGCACGCCCGTCAGGTCTGGCTAGCTTCTAGTTGGACGCAAGTCTTTCTCGTCTGTGTGTCTCATGTGGACAGCGGGATGTGGCGTCTCCCTCAAACACTGCTCAACTCTTTCTGAGCAGTGTTTGCCAGCCTCGGTTCTGCCAGCTGTGGGGCTCTCTTGTTCCACAGCGTAGGTTTGGGATTATGATGTATTCCGGAGGGCGGCCCTTTTGTCATCAGGCGACATCCCGCTGTTTGTCTTGCCAGTCACTTTGTGTGGAGTTCCTGCGGACGCAGGTGTAAGCACTGGATCCTGGGGAAGAAAAGCACCCCCAGCCATGCCCCACCCCAGCGGACACCTGAGGACTGTCCAGTTCCTTCCCTTCATACCTACAGGCTCCACCTTCCCATTCCCATAGGCAGTCTGTCTGTCTGTCTGTCTGTCTGTCTGTCTCGTGGCTCATTTGGAGACACCCCATCAGGCTTCCGTTAGGGTTCTGTCCTGGTTCCTGGAGCACAGCTGAGTCGCTGGGTCTGAGAGCTCTGTCCAGGAAAGCCAGTATCTGGGTTTCCCTCAGAGACAGTCGGCAGTGAGGAGCCACCACAGAGACCACGCGAACATCCACGCCCAGACTTGTGGGGGCCCTTGGCACGCCTGAGCAAGCCTCCTCTGGCTGGTGGTCCAGGAGCTTCACGTGGGAGGTCCCCCTGCCAGAGCCAGCAGTGACACTGGAACAGCCAGGGAGCCTGGGACTTCTGGTCTCTTCACTCCTCCAGCCCCACCCAGCGGCAAGTCTGGGTTCCTGGCCAGCATGGCTCCTGATCCAGGCTCCCCAGAGGAAGTGATCGTCAAAGGCCAGGAGGACTCTTGGACCCAGCACTACAGAAGCCTTGCCCCAAGGAGGCCGAGAATCCCCTCTGAGCCCCAGGTGGCCCTGGCAGAGAAGCGGGCAGAGCCCTGCTGGAGGCTGTGCGCCCGCTGGCTGCCTTTGGGCTTCGGACTGCTACATGGGGTCAACCGTTGGGACCAGGGGTCCGAGCACCTCCTTGGTGTTAGTGTGATGTTAGGGCTCATGCATCCTTCCCGGCACACCTCTGCCTCAGCAAAGGAGATGTCCAGAGTGTTGGTGCCCCCTGGCTGGACAGGTCAGGAGCAGGGGGCATGATGGTGCTGGCCTGTATGGCTCCCAGAAGCTTGTGGGAAGGACAGCACAGGGTCCATGGCTTAGGGGAGCTCAGAGGAGGGACAGCCCCAGGCCCATGGCTCAGGTGATCTTGGGGCGCAGCACCTATGGTTCAGGCGCAGGTCAAATGGCACACCTCCATCAGTGCAGTGGGTCACTTTCTGAAGGCTTTTCCCAGTCAGCATGGTCTTGTGGCTCTCAACAGATAACTGGGTTGGATTGTGCAAACAAGGTGTCAACAAGAGGACTGGAAGGCTACTCATAGTTCAAATGCAGATAAGGTGTATGGAATCCTAGTGAATGGATTGGTCCGTTTTGCCAGCACACTGGGCTGAAAGGGAGCAATCCTCAAGACAGGGAGAAGTGTTGGGAGCAGAAAACGGCCTTGGGCTGAAGTCCCTGAGCTGAGACCTCTTAGACCAGGAGCCAGAGAGAGAAACACCACAGGAGAACCTGATCGGCTGAGATGGTGCAGTGGGCAAGGCAATGAGAGCAGGTGGGGTGCCCTATGGAGCAGGAGGCCACTGGGTGTGGTACACCTCTGGGCGCTCACTGAGGAGCCAGCCTGGCTGACCAGAGCTGATCACCTTTGGGCTACGGCTTACTGCTGGAAGAATAGCCGGGCACTTGCTGCTGGGAGGGGTGGCTGGGGACACTCCCTGGGATGTTTGAGAGATGGGCTGTGTAGCCCCCAACAGTGATGGCCCCTAAGCACCCCTGTGGGGTTCACCTCTCTTTTCTTGGAGGTGTCCATGCTCTGGCATCCTCATTACCCTGCCCTGCCCCTGGGAGGGTAGTGGGGTCACAGACCTGGGACCCCCACTTGGAGTGGTACCTACAGCCCTCTCTGGACTGACCTGGATCAGGCCGGCCGCGGGGTTCCGCCGCTTCTCAAAGTGCTTCTGCCGGTGCTGCTCCTGAACCTTCAGGGCAAAGCCAGAGCCCAAGATGCCCTGCAAGTCACCAAGGTCAGACAGTGTCCCGGGGCCACACCCCCAAACTCATCAGGATGACATGTTGGAGACCCCCTAGTCCCCAGCCCCAGGGCATGTCTGTCCCCTGGACTATGTCTCCTGTCTCTATAGGACTGATGGCCAGCATGACTTTTGCTCTGCTCAGAGATGGGAAGACCTCCTGGGGACCACCCAGACTACCCAACCTGCAGCCCTGCCCAAGGGTGAGGGGGCTCACCGCAGGGAGAGCGAAGAAGGAGACTCCGATGAGGGTGAACGTGGCCGCCAGGAGCCTCCCGTTCCAGGTCTGGGGGTACTTGTCCCCATAGCCAATGGTTGTCAAGGTGATCTGAGGACAGCAGGCTCCGGTCAGTGTGCTGCCCCACAGCACCACTCAAAGTGGCACAGAGGAGCACCTGCTGGGCACCCCATCCTCTAACCCTGAGAGGCAGGCAGGTGAGGGTGGGGTCACCTGGAGCAGGATGGACAGGAGGCCACCGCCAGCCCTGGAGGTCAATATCACCCCTGAAATTGTCCCAGAGCCCCCCCCCCCATCCCAGCCTGGGGGTGATTTGGAACCTCTGCCCATGTAACCGAGACAGGTGCAGGTCCCGCAGCCCCTACAGACTGGTGGAGCGATGGAAATCCCACCTCTCAGGGCTCAGTCTATGGGAGCACCGGTTAAACCTAGCAGTTAAACCCAGCCTGTGCGAGGGGGTTTGGCGGGAGAGTGAAGGTGCCTGGTGAGGGGTGTGAAACCACCCTGGAGGGGTGGTAAGCAGAGAGACAGACAGCCTAGTGAGGTAGCCTGGGAACCCAGGTCAGAGGGGCAGGGGGACCAGGGAGCATGGCTCACAGAGCCACACCAGGTGACCAGACATGCCAAGAGACCAGCAGGAAGTGGCCACAGTGGAATGGTGACAGTCTGCCCTGTGAGAGTGCCGGAGTGTTCTGAGGAGATAGGTGGGAGCTCTGAGGAGCCAGTGGTCTTGGCTTAGCTTCTTCTCCAGCGGTGGGATTACGGATAGGAGAGGGCCTCCTGGAGACAGGGGTGGGGGTGAAGTGGGAACTGGCCCCACGGGAAGGACAGGGGCCTGCTTTCCGGTACAGGCCAAATGCATCTCAAATACCCAGGCAGGCATTTAAAAACAAACAGACAAGCAAAAAGCCCAGGCGTCAGTGTTCGCATCACACTTTTTGCAGACCCCAGAGCTCAGAGCTGGGTTGCTTAATCCAGAACCTGGAAAGGGCTCCACCCACGGGGACAGCCCCGCCCCAGGAGAGGGATCCGCCCACAGGGACAGCTCCACCTCAAGAGAGCTCCGCCCCAGGAGAAGGGTCCGCCCACGGGGGACAGCTCTGCCTATGGGGACAGCCCCACCTCAGGAGAGCCCCGCCCACAAGGACAGCCCCGCCTCAGGAGCGGGCTCCGCCCACAAGAAGAGCTGGCAGTGGGGGGTTAGGGAGAGATCCGCCCACAGGGACCCAGGAGAGGATGGGCCACTCAGCTAGATCCCTCCACATCTGCACCTCCACATCCTCCCTGGTCACTCTGTCCCAAGGACCGTCCCTGCCAGCAGGGAAGTGCTGCTGCTTTCGGGTACAAGGTGGAGGGAGGAGCCCCGCCTGTTGGGGGTGACATGGCCCGGGTGACGTGGGAAGGACTCACCAGACCCCACCAGAGTGCATCCGCGTAGGTGTCAAAGTGGTCATTCTCGCCCTTCTCCGCCAGGTACACCAGGAAGGAGGCCAGGATGAGGCAGAGGAAGCCAATGTACCAGGCAGTGACCAGCTCCTGCGGGCCAGACGGACCGAGTCATCAGAGCTGGAGGCCTTCGGCTCCCAGGTCAGCAGAGACCCTTCGCCAGCCTCAGGAGGGGGGTCAGGCTCAGCGGCGGGCCTCGGGGGGTGCCAAGAGCTGCCCCTGGCCTGGGCGGAGGGGTCACCAGCGCTCAGAGCTAGAACTGCTGCTGGTTTGGCAGCCGGCCCCACTAGCCCCTTAGCTCCACGCTTAACGATAATGTAGAGCCCAGGCCAGGGGGGCTGTGGCAGGCTGCAAAGACAGTGACGGGTGACCCACCAGCTGTTAGTTCACAGACTGCCCACCCACCAACCCCCGACCCACCACATCCACCTGGAGGGGACCTCGCGGCCAGGGGCTGGGGACAGGGTGGGAGGAGAGGAGAAAGCTGTTCGAGCAAGCCAGGCCATCGAGGGGCAGGCCGTCTCAAGGGGCCTGGGCAGGAGGGGGCTTCCCTCTGGTGACCGTGGTGTGTGCAGCGGCGGCGAGGCTGGTCCACTGGACAGAAGCGCAAGGATCCATCGCACCCTTCTGTTGTGCCCCAGGATCCTGAGGACCAACCTGGGGCAAGTGGCTCCAGTCTGGGGCAGGTGAGAGGAGGCGCCTGGACGCCCGCCTGCTGGGCTTCCCGCGCACTCACCTTGCTGTGGGCGTAGACCACCGAGCCCAGCAGCTTCCAAGTGCCGCCCCTGCGGTCCATGCGGATCATCCGCAGGATCTGCAGGAAGCGCAGGCTGCGCAGCGCTGACGTGGCGAAGACGTTGCCCTGGGAGCCGGCGGCCAGCACCGCGATGGAGGCGATCAGGACCATGATGTCTGTGGGACACGGAGGGGCTCGTGGGTAGGGGCCGGGATCCTGGGGGCGGGGAGGGGTGGGGTACCGGCTAGACGCGCCTGGCAGAAATGTGCGCGGGCCAGCGGGTCACAGACAAGACTGATACTCCTGCTGCCTTGTCCATCCTTCCCCCACCCCCAGTGGTCCCGCCCTGCCCCAGCTCCCCGTGCCTCGTGTTAGGGGCCCGTGCCCCCTCCCCCATCCAGGAGTGGCCCCAGCCCAGCTCTCCCCGCCCACGTGCCCCCCTCCCGCGTCCCAGGCCCACGCTTGCCTATCACGCAGAAGGGCTTCCTAGCAAACTTGAGGCGCCCACGCCAGCCGCGGTAGCGGCAGCAGCAGCCAGCCGCCCAGATGCGCACCAAGTACTCCACGCCGAACACGACGATGGTGACAATTTCCTGCAGGGGGACCGCTCTGATCACGGACCTGGTGGGACTGGGCTGGGCTGGGCGCCTCAGGTGGCCCCAGCTGGTCCAGCCGCCCCTCCTCCAGAACCGCCCCCAAAGGGCGTGCCCAGGAATGGGCGGGGAGGGGGAGCTGAGTCCGCCTTGGGAGCCTGGGGGGCTCCCGTGAGTCAGCGGAAAGCAAGGTGGAGTATAACCTGAGCTGTGGGTGGGAGGGGTCGGGCAGGTATGGGCTGAAGGACCCTGTGACGTCACCCAGGTGTCAAGGATGAGGGTACCAGCTGTGGCCACCAGTGTCCAGAGCACCCTGACACGCCAGTGTCCAGGGATGCAAGGGGGTCCTGCCCCGGAGCACAGCTGCGGCTGAGGAAGGGGAAGGGGCAGAGGAGGCCGCCGAATGAGAAGCCAGGAGCAGTGAAGGCAGGGGGACCACCCACCAGGCATGTGCGTGTGCGTGCATGTCTGTGCGTGCCTGCATGTGTGACTGTACGCGTGTGCATGTGTGTGCGTGCTCGCAGCTCACCAGGATATAGAGGGCGCCCTCGGAGCTCTTCTCGTACTCCTTGATGGTGGAGAACACGGAGAGCACCAGGCAGGAGAAGACGAGCAAGAACCTGGAGGAGGGGCGGGGTTAGCCGGCAGGGGGCGGGGCCCAAGCCTCCCGCAGCCGTCCCCGCCCCTGAGCTGGGAAGAGCAGAGCTCTGAGGTAGCCGGTGGGAACAGAAGCTGCCCTTCTCTCCTGGGACCACCCTGCCCCCCGTCCAGACACGGGTCCGCGAAGCCCCCGGAGAGAGACAGACCGCCCCTCAGGTCTCTGCTGACCTCACTCTAGGCAGCTCCGAGCCCAGTCACGGGGGCTGCCTGTACCCCGAGGGCACGTACCCTCCATCTGTAATCCCTCTCCATTGCCTGGATTCAGCCCTGGTCCCTTCCCTATCCCGGCCTGCTCCTCAGGCCGCCTTCGTGGACCTGCCCCGGGATGACCC